AAAAAAAAAAAAAAAAAAAGGCACATATCATATAAAGGGCATTAACAGAACATGATAACAAAAGTCAGACTGAATCCAGAGTAACTTGACAACAAAATGAAGAAGGCATTCATATTTCCCCAATTAATAAATGGTTCTATTAACTTTTCCTGATGATACATATTTTTAAGAATAAAAAAGTGTAATGAGGCCTTAGCTGGTTTGGCTCAGTGGCTAGAGCGCTGGCCTGCAGACTGAAGGGTCTTGGGTTCAGTTCTGGCCTAGGGCACATACCTCGTTTGCAGGCTCGATCCCTGGTCCTGGTCAGGACATGTGCAGAAGGCAACCAATCAATGTGTCTCTCTCACATCAGTGTTCTCCCCTCTCTCTATCTCTCCCCTCTACTACACTCTCTCTGAAAAGCAATGGAAAAAATATCCTCAGGTGAGGATTTAAAAAAAAAATGTAATGAGAAAAAACTGGACATAATAATTGAGAAAATGCTATGTAATTTTTTTCATATAAAAATGGCAGCTTAGTAAACAATGATTAAAAATACTTTTTAAGAATTGTGTATATAATTAAATGTTCTGTAGTTTCTGGCACTGGGAACACCTTGTCCTTCAAGTGCAATTCTAAAAAGCATAGTTAAGCCACAGGTACAAATGTATCAGCTGAATGTATGACTACTTCTGATGAATCTACAATTATTTTCTTCTTAAATAGAGGGCAATCCAATGTGAACTTTTCATATTCTCCACATTCTCCATAAACATGGACTCCATATTTCTTAGAAAGCTCTAACAGATAAGGACCCACTGATCTAGGGTTTTTCCAAAATGCTTATCTGGATCTAAACCCAAAGCTGCTACTTTGATGATGACTGCCTGATTTAGATCCTATCATCTGTTGGAGCAAATCTTGGTTTCCCTGCCAAAGGTAAGCTAAAGGCTTAAAATTAAGCCTTTTACACACATTTTCTACTGATGATCAGAAAGTATACAACCTACTGTTATTCCTTTTACTTCTTTTTCCTTAACAAGTTTCAAAGCTCAGAGAGACTGTCAACCTCATCACCTTCACATTTGGTGGACGCTCATCTTGTATCCACACTACTTCCCCTTTTGGTATGGCAATAGAGGGGAGAACCACTGCATCTGCAAACAAATCAATGTCATGAGGACCCAGTCTGACACATGTAGCTACTGGCAGACCTCACATGGTTTTCAGCTGGCCTTAGATTTGCTGAAGCAACTATCTGATGCCCAGCAGCAATGTACTGCATCATTATTGTTAAAGCTGTCCTTCCTACCACTGATCAGAGCCATAACCCTCATGCTGGGTGCAGTGCATGGGCATGTGGCAGGCCTAGCCTTTACCATTTTAATTATGATGACTCTTGGTGTGGGCCTATTTAGGTTCATCTTGGTTGGGACTCTCTGTGTTTCTTGGATTTGTATGTCTATTTTCTCTACCAGGTTAGGGATGTTTTCCATTATTATTTTTCAAACAGGTTCTTGGTCTCTTGCTCTTTCTCTTCTTCCCATGATGCAAATGTTAGTATGCTTGAAGCTGTCCCAGAGGCTCCTTATACTATCCTCACATTTATTTTTTGGATTCTTTCTTCTTTTCGCTGTTCTGATTGGGTATTTTCTGCTTCCTTATCTTCCAAATAACTGAATTGATCCTCTGCTCATGTACTCTACTGTTGATTCCATGTAAGTATTCTTCATTTTTGACTGGTTCTTTTATGTTTTCTATCTCCATTTTTATGCTTACCTCTTTGAAGTTCTCATTGAGATCATTGAGCATCCTTATAACCAGTGTTTTGAACTCTGTATCTGGTAAATTGCTTGTTTCCATTTTGTTTAGTTCTTTTTCTGGAGTTTTATTCTGTTCTTTCATTTGGGACATGTTTCTTAGTCTCATTTTAACTGCCTCCCTGTGTTTGTTCCTATGTATTAGGCAGAGCTGCTATGTCTCTTGATCTTGTACAGTGGCCTAAAGAACTCAGTGGTGCAGCCCTGGCTGGTTTGCTCAGTGGTTAGAGCGTCGGCCAGTGAACTGAAGGGTTGCAGGTTTGATTCTGGCCAAGGGCATGTACCTCGGTTGCAGGCGCTATCCCCAGCCCTGGTAGAGGTGCATGCATGAGGCAGCCAATCAATGTGTCTCTCTCACATCGATGTGCCCCCCATCTCCACTCTCTCTGAAAAGCAATGGAAAAAATATCCTCAGGTGGTGTGCCCCCTGTGTGGACTGTGTGCACCCTCCTGTTGTAGTTGAGCCTTTATTGCTGTTGGCAGGTCAATGGGAAAATTTACCCACAGGCTGTGAGGCCGCAAAAACTGGCCATGACCACTGTGGAAGATCTGCTGTGCAGGGGCTGACCCCATGGAGCAGGACTCACTTCAGTGGGGCTCTGGTGACCACGGAGACCACATCTTGAGTGTGTCACTTGTGGAGGTGGTTGTGTGGTGCTTTGGCATGTTCTGAAGCTATCCACCAGGTGCACTGGCTCTGGGGCCTCCAGGAGGTGCAGGGCAAAGTCAGATGCTGCCTATGCCCTCCCCAGGATCACCGGGCATGAGCTACAAAGTGATCTGTAGATGACTGCTACTTATGCTAGGTTTGGAGGTGCCCAGGAGAAGCCAATCTGCCTACCAAGGCTGGCTGCTGATAGTGCCCAGTTGGTGCTACTTAGCAAGAGGTATGGGGCATGCTGAGGCCAGATGCTGCTTGTTTGAGATTTTAGGAAAGTCTGCAGCATGAGCCAAGACAGTCTGTTAGTATGGAAAAGCCACTGGAAACAGCTTGGGTGGGCCTGAAATTTGGGTGGAACAGGGTCTCAGGGAATCACCAGGGAGGGGTGAACAGTGTTAGCCAGGTTGATGGAGACTCAGATATGGTGACCACCGCAGGCTCTGGGGGGAGGGCTCAGCAAAGGAAATGTGGTCTCTGACAGCACTTCTGTCTGGGAGAAAGCTGTCCCTCCAACCCACGCTGGACAACTTAGTTCCACCCTGTATGTTCCTGGCACATTTTAAGCTACTGTGAGTCTGAGTAAGTCTGTGCACAGGCCCTTTAAGTGGAATACATGGGACTCCAGGAACCCTCCATCTCACTTAGCCACCATCCCCACTGGTTTTAATAGTCAGACGTTATGGGGACTTCTCCTCCTGGACTGGAATCCTGGGCTGGTGGAACCTGGTGTGAGGCTGGGACCCTCACTCCTCAGGGGCCACCTCTGCAATGGAGATATAACTCCTTATTTATAACTGCCACACCATGGGTGTGAGATCAGCCTGTTCCTAGTTCTGTCCCTCCTACCAGTCTCCATATGGCTTCTTCTTTATAACCTTAGTTATAGAACTTCTGTTCAGCTAGGTTTCAGGCAGTTTTGAATGATGGTACTTCTGAAGTTCAGTTGTAATTTTAATGTGGTTGTGGGAGAAGGTGATTATCTTCTACCATCTTGACCAGAAGTCCCCTTATTTTACTCTTTCCAGAATTCAATTAATTTGTTTTTATTACTAAAAGGCTTATAATAAAATCTAAAAAAGAAAAAAAGGCAAACCTATCCAAACAAAACAGTTATGTTTACCTCTAGAAAATGCTTTCATATATGTTAAATGTGAAACAATGTGGCCCATGTACCACACTGAGCAGTGTGGGCACAAGTGGGGCTGACCCACAAGGGGCACAAGCTGTCACACTTAAAGCCAAAGGGCCTGCTGTTAGCTACTGTGACACATGGCGATGCAGCAGCAAGACCTACCCACTGGGTGGAAGGCTTGTTCAGGTATGAGTAGGGAATAAAGAATATGCTTCATGATGAAAAAACAATACATTTAACTATTTGCTAAGCAAAACACAATTCTGATGGAGAAAGCCTGTGAGGTACTCTCCTCCCAATACATAGTTATAAGCTGGAGTGAGGCTCCATTCGTATTTTCCCATCTCTGCATCTGAAAGGTTCTGGTCCTCCTGGCAAGTGTACACACCTTGCTTAATTAATGGCAGGATATAGAAAAGCAGCTCACACAAATAACTTGTGGTAGGTTATGGGTTAACAAATCAAGATTTCACTAAGCCAGGCCTCCCTGGGTTGGCCCCACATTTGGGTAGTTTACCTCTTTTTGATAACTAAGATTATTAAGGCCTGCCTTTTCTCTAGATCAGCTGCTCATTCATGGCAGAAAGTGTGGCTGATTTAAGGCTGTTATTCTAGTGAAAGTTCAATACAAAAAGGGTTAAAATTTTAAATTTCAAGTAAAAGCCAAGAAAGGGAGCCCAAAGACTTAATCTCAGAAACCAACGGCACACAGGTACTCTGTAGTTGCTCCCATGTGCTTTCTAGATCTGACAGTTGCCTCACTGGGGCAGGATCGGGGAGTCTGCAGAGGGAATGCTGAGAAGACAGCATCTGTCCTGCTTCCTCCTGACCTCACTCAACACTTGTGTGGATGACCTTTGAAAAATAATTTGCTCTGATTTAATTTATGTCAGTAGTTCTCAAAATGTGGCCCCCTGCTAGGCCTTGGGTTGAACTAGAGATTGTTCAGGTCAGTTTACAGCTGTCTGCTCTGGCTGGTCCATCTGCCCATCAGTCTATCCCACAAACCCAGCAAGAAAGAAGGAAGCTACCAATATCAGTCATATCCATGCCTTGCTCACTCAGGCACCCTGCCAAGTGCTAAGTGCGTTCTTTCACAGGAGACTGAAGCAAGCCTGCACACCAGCCATGCCTGTCACTTCTATGACATCGGGCTCCTGTTACAGCTGAGGAACCTGAAGTTCAAAAGTATTATAACAAACATGTTTTTAAATTCCTACAACAAATCTGGGAAAATGTACGATGTTTTTGCTCTGACATAAGTATTTCCCAAGCATATATAATTAAATGAAATGCAAATACCTGCCATATTTCTACCTTCCTTTTCACTTCCTCCTTTTCTGCAAACTCACTTAAGTTCGCCAGGGCTTTGGCTGCCAGTATCCTTCTTTCCTCAACACTCAATTCAGACGGCAGAGCAGTGTGTGGGGCGACTTCAGGCACATCTTTGCTGTTCTGGGTTTTAGGTCCAGCCAAGGACTGTGCTTTGGGGCTGGAGCCACAGTCCATAGGGCTGCTGCAGCCACCATGAACTTCACATCGACACAGGGTCCCCTGCTGGAGAGGACAGTGTGGTTCCTTGGGGATATCTGCAACGTTGAGTGTAACAGGCTCCCCAGGGTTGTGTGACCCTGAAACACCTGAAGAGAAGGTTTTGCTCCGCTGTGCTTCCTTCGGAATATTCTTCCTTTGGAAAATTGGTGAACCATCATCTTTGAGTTGTTGTAAGCCTCCAAATTTAGACGGATTCCAGAAAGAAAATGTGTTGTGGACCAGCATTTCGTCACTGAAATCCAGCTGTGCAGTCTGTGGGGTGTCACAGTGCCCTATGGGCATCTGCTGCCTGGGGTTGTGGCAGAACGAGACCTGAGCAGGCACTGTCCATGGAGTCCCCAACTGCTCCAAAACTGACTCGGCTCTCTGTAAATCTGAGTCACTGTAGCTGAGCTGCCTTTTCAGGCGAGTCAGGGGCTGAAGACACTCTGCATTCCGCCTCTTCCAAAGAGGGTCAAACTCTTGCTCACTGGAAAGAATCACATCCTGATTCTCGACATCCGCAGCCACTGCAGTGGGGGTGAAGAAGTCCGAGGCCTCACTGTCGTGCCTCAGCAAATCTCTATCCAGCTGCATCGTAACCGCCTCAGAAACAGTCTTTTCAATTTCGGCAGAGAGGCCAGGTGCTTCTACCACTTCTTCTGTCACTATGGGTCTGTTTTCAGCTAAGTCCAGCAGCAATTTGCACACGAGGTGAATAATTTTTGGCACATGTTTCAGAAGTCGTGCCTCATAACCATGAAGCAAATGTCGCTGGCGCGTCAGATACTGCGTTAAGGTGACAGCATGTGCTCTGGGGTCACAGCAAGAGAATATGTTGCGAAGAGGAATCAGAAACTGAGTAAATTCCCTCACACACAGTAGCTGTCCTCGAGTTTGAATGGAATTGGGACGCTTTGCCCGAACAAATACAATGGCTTGATCAGCAGTCATTCTTGTCGCAAAAACTAAGTAACAAGCTATTAAAACACCTAAGGAGTGAAGAAGAAAAACCTGGATGAGAAAAGCTTATATATATATATATTTTTTTATTTATCAGTCTTAATGATTTATATTTGGCATTTGAAAACCATATAAATAGAGAAACGTTTTAAAAAAAATATAACTTTGTAACTTTTTGAAAAGGTGTTTATATATTTACTTATCAATATGCCCCCCCCCCCGCCTTGATTGAGAACATTCAGTGCCCCTGTACCCAGGGGCGAGCACAGAAACTGTCACAGTGAAGCTAAGTGTGGACTACAGGGGAATGATAGAGTAACTGTGGAGTGAGGGAGGGACAACTAAGTGTGCAATGAGGGGGGTGAATTGGTAAGTGTGGAGTGAGAACGATGGCTGGGTAACTGTGCAGAGAGAGGAAATGACTGAGGAGTATGGAGTGAGGGGCGGGGCTGACGGAGTAATTGTGGAGTAAGGGGAGAGGACTGAGCGAGTGTGGAGTTGGGGGAGATGGCTGAGTGACTGGGGAGCAGGGGGGATAGTCTGGCATGTTTACCCTCCTTATGCCCAACTCCAACATGGGAGAAATAAAATCCTGCTTCTATTTCCCATTTGACAATTACTGAAAATTTCCATCCAATGGATCCATATACTGCACTTGGAACTTCTCACTCCTGTCTTTGCCATCAATTGTTGGAACATTACTGCCTGGCACACTACCAACCTGGACATTTTTAAATTTGGGAATTATTTACATTCACCATCTTTTCCCCCTGACAATTCTTCTTGCAGAATTGTCTCTACACTAATATGTGTCTTTTCTATACCATGATACAATTCTAGATTGCTATAAGCATTTAACATTAAGGAAAACAGCCTTAACAGTACAAACACTATGCATTCCCCCAAGGAAGCTCCTGAGCAGGTGGGAGACTCCATGGCGGTACACAGGTACACTATGGATAGTCAAGCTCAGGTGTCAGGTTGAACCAAATGGCAATGAAGATTCCAACCTGATGGTCTTTATTTCTGCCCCAATATCAGTATGGCACTGAGATTCTGCTGCCTTTTTAAGTAAAATCATTGATTTTTATATCGAACTCTAGGCATGGATAGACTCTTCTTCGCAGACAGAATTCTCACAGCCATGAATTTAAATGTTGGTCCTTCCATTTATAGCAAATTGCTTACCCTTTTTCAAAACTCACATTGCTGCTAAAGATTTATTAATAAGACAGCAAGTATAAAATGCTTAGAACAATAGGTGAAACAATGCTTGCTATTTTCATTATTATCTTTAAAGACATTGGCTATTAAAAATATTATTCTTTATATGTTTAAATATACTACAAGGCAATAAAATTACCTCCTAGAATTTACCTGTTCGACCAAGCCCTGCGTGACAATGGATAGCTACTTTTCCTTCTTGTAAGGCAAATGTCATTACCTTCACCATATCTAAGATGGTGGTAAGCGATGCTACACCATAATCCTTCCATCCAAAATTGTAGAAATAAACTGGGTGATGAAAAAGAGAACAGGGAAAACATCAACATACAGGAAAAATACTTGCAAGGATATCTGAAGAAAGTGAGTGAATTCATGAAGAGTAGAAAGCTGTAAGGCACGCAGATCTCACTGAAGTGTAGGCCTAGAATAACAGGCTTTTTACATTTCCAGTAAGTTTATTGTTAACATTTCTTACAAAGCACATTCCATATTACTTAAGGCATTTCCTGCTGAAACTCAGCCAGAAAGAGTTATGGAAAAGCAGGAATGCCAATTAATAAAGTCAATAATCTGTGCCCAAATGCCTCAGCTATAGAAAGCATACAATTCTGTTTAAGCATAGTCTAAATGACTGATAAATGGGAAAAGATAGTACAGATTTTCCACCCAGTGGGAAAAAAAGAGCTAGATACAAGCTTCTTAAAAAATGTTCCAAAACTGCACAGGTTGATCCTTTCCAGCCTGGTGGGATTCCACCCCAAAGCTCCCGTGACTAAGGAGCCCTGGAATTATCAATAAGGAACCCCAGCACCCTACTCAGGCGCAGAACTGCTGTGCAGCAGCAAAGGCATCAGTGAGTCCTGGGTTCCAATCCTGCTAACACGGTTAGGCTATGTGACCGTGGGCAAATCAGAACTTACTCATAAGCCAGTGGCCTCATGTGTGAAGCAGAAACAACTACGTTACTTGACTGCTTTAAGGATAAAGTGAGATGACAGCTCTGACATACTGTTAATGTTAATGCAAGCACTAATCAAATGTTACCACTGTTTCTACAGGGTCTCCTCCCAAGGTCCCTCTCACAGAAAAAGAAAGCCTGCATTTTCAACAGCAAGACCACAGAAGAATGGTGGCATTCTTTAAAGTTAAAGTTAGCTCATCTTCATGTTTTAGGAGCCCTACTACTATACAGTAAGTGGTTTTTCCATCATCTTTTAAACCTAAGAGCTGAGCAGACAAAAGCCTCTGAGTGCTGTCTTGGTAACTCATGGAGAAGAGGGTGGAAGGACTTACTGCCAGCCTCCATGAAAGCCTCAGGAAGGTATGTGAAACCACTTTCCTGTTCCAGAGGGTTCCCACAGCTGGCATGCTCACCCGGCCGCTGCAGGTTAATGATTGTTTTTAAGCCATGGCTTAAAGGAAAAAGAAAAAAATTAGTCGTACTGCGAGTTAGCTAGCATTTTTTTAAAAAGTAACCACTTCTGGCACTAATAAACATTACTAATTATTCTCAAATTTCTTATTTAAAATAAGTACATTACACCTATCATTAAAATGAAAACACTTTGCCATTGAACTCAAAGCAATGGAAGAGGAAACACGAGCTGGCTTATTAAAGTGTGTGAACAATGTGGCATTTACCTCCGAAACTGCTCAATGATGCAGTACTTCTCAAGGAGCTCAGTGGATGGGCGAGCCATGGCCAGGATGCTATCAGTGACCCTACAGGTGGGAAGAGGGCCTGGTGAGATGCACAAAACATAGCACATTCCAGCTCCAAGGACTGAGAGAGCAGGGTATCAAGCCACTACTTTTCCTGTGATTGCAATAACTCTGTAAGATGAGAAACTCCTTATCCAAACCTGGCCTCAATTTTGCATCATGATTAGGCCTCTAAAAAACCCTACCTAGCTGCTTAAATCTCTGGGAAAATTCCAGGGCGGAAGGATTTATGGACTGCAGCAAAGCATTTTCAGGGACACTTATGAGATTCTAGTGGGCATGATGCAGAAACCTGAGCTGGCAGCAAAGGTGACAATCTAGGTTAGTTATCCAAAGGTGACTAACCAAATGAGGAGTAGGAGGCATTTCTAGTTCTTGAGCTGTCTGCAGTTGAGCTATCTATGTGTTAAATGGAATAAAAACACCTGCCTTGGAGGGCTGGTGTGATAATTCAACCCAATGTGGATGTAAAGTCTTCAGCAAATCCCCCCACATGTGGTTATTAATAAATGCTGAGTTATTGCAATTCAGCAAAAAATAAGGGCTTTGGAATCCATTGGGCCTGGTTTCAAATGCTGGCTTTTCTATTTTCTAGCTGGGTAGCACACTACTTAAGTTTCTCTGGACCTCAATTCTTTCATCAATAAAATGATATTACCAACGCCTATTTCACAAGAGTTTGATGAAGATGAGGTAATAATTTGAACGTGTCTAGCACAGTGCCTGGCCTGCAGCCAAATGCATGTTTACTGACTGTACCAATGGACAGAGACCCAACAAATGGCTGCCTCTCATTAGGGCTCTGGCTTCACTCCATTCTGGTCGAATTTCTAATCACTAAAAGCCACATCAGGCAGTCTGCCCAAAGTTGTGGGTCACATGAACCCGAGAGGAGTAGCATTAAATAAACAGGGCAGGATCCAAAAAGACACCAACGCTCTCCCTGGGGTAATGCCTGAAGTTCAACAGGGTCCCCCAAAGTTTTGGAACCCCCAAGATTTAACAATACTTAGTATGAGATGAGGAGAGAGGTAACGTGAAATTAACAGAGGTGAAAAAGACTCAGATGGTTTAGTCAACAATAAATCAAAAATATTAATGTGGCCTTAGGCTGCACTGCTAGAAATTTACTTGTCAGACCACGCATCAGGAATAGTGTTTGTTTTCTCACAACATTCTTTAAGAAAGGCAGTGACAGACAAGAATATGATCTGTGCAGAACAGTGGCCTCTCAACTATATCACTATCCATGTACCCAGCAAATCCGATATGAAAAAGTATGGGTTGCAAGTTAGAGACACTAGTCAACAAATATCTAATCTGTAAGTGGATTCTTGCTGTATAAACTGATTCACCACTAGAATTCTTTAAACAGTGATTTCCTCTAAGTGTGTTTCAAATGGAACTTGGTTTGGTTATCAAAACTTTTCAGGTATCATTACACTGAAAAGATATACTTGACAGTTTACTATTAATAATAAAAAGTGGTATGATTCAATGATGATTCAACTGCACTTATATACTATAAAAAATGCAAGCATCTTATACTGTCCACTGAACCAACAACTTGTACCATTTCTATTCAGGCAGACTGCAGGTGTGTTTGTGTGAAAATGGGTCCTTTCACGCAGCCCGATGGAGTATAGGAACAAAATTAAAACAAGGCTAAAGTTTACCTGTATGACACTGGAAACTACATATGTACTTCATAATTTTTCAAATTTATAGCTTGACATGTTTATTATTTCTAGCAATTTCTGAAATTTAAGAGCTATCTAGTTACCACTTCTTTAAGATACTTACATACATTATTTCACTTAATTAAAAAAGACCCTATGGAGTTGGTTTTATTATTTCCATTTCACAGATGAGAAAACAGGTTCAGAGTGCCTGTATGAGTAGGCCACAGCTTGTCAGGCAGCAAAGCCAGGGATGGGAGGCAAGGTTCTGACTTCAAAACCCCATACACCCTCTTCACAGCCTCCTGCCACCCAGCACGACATACATCTTCATTCCCTTTTCCTACTTAGCTGCAGGGAAGAGCTACCGCAGTCTGACAGAATCACTCACCAGGAAGAGTAGATCCCCTTAATGGCCTGCTCCTGCTTACTCCATCGGGCTGGATTTTCATACTTGCATGCTCTGCCCCCACATGCCATGGAGCAGGCCATGTGTCCAGGAATGACATGCCGTAAACGCTCTCCGACTTTTGTATACTTTGGTGTTGGACGTCCTGAATTACCTAAAACATGAAGGAAGGGATTCAAAATTCCACTCTCTAAACAGAATAGTGACCTGGGAAACAGCTTCCATTTTATCTCAGGATTGCAGATCAGGAGCTAGTGCTAACCCCCTTCATTGTGTCAAGATTAAAACCACTTCCATTGCATCTAAGTGCAGTCTCTTACTGCAGGAAACTCTTCCATACACAACCTCCACATGTCATACTGGTCACGAAGACAATAAACCGTAAAAGCAGATCTTTTATAAGGGAGTGAGGTTTGTTCAGAACTGTATTTTTAAAGAAAAAACACAAAACAGTCAGTCATTCTATCTCCTATTACATATGCACTGAAACTCTTAGCATAACAGACAGTAAAAAGGAGAATGTAGAATGGTGAAAATTTAAAAAGGTATAAACACAGCACAGCCTCTTCACATTCCTTAAATTTAAACTCAAAGGTGTGGCAATCTTTAAGAAGAAAAGGAGTTTTACTTTTTCTCTCGGGGCAAGTTGGGTTTCTCTTGGCGCAGCTGACAGAGGACACAGCTAGCATCACCTGGAGAGAGGAAGAGGAGAGCATCTTGGTGGCGGAGCCGCGCTGGCCCTGCGGCAGCCTCAGCACTGTGTCTGAGGCCGAGTGCCGGCGGCCCTGTAGGAAGGAGCTGAGGAAGGGCATGGCTGAGAGCCGCCGGGGCGGGTCCTGCATGGCGCTGGGCCCCCGAAGGGGAGCTGGAGCCAGGGATGTCAGTGCCAGCTTGCTCAGTGATGAAGCTACACTGAGATAAGAGCATCGCTCTGCATGATCTAACGGCCATTCAGGATAGGCTGACTTGTTTCCATAGTGACGAACAAAGAAACTACTGATTCCCACACAGAGTTGCACAGGCAAAGTCCCACATGAATGAGCTGTATTTTGGACAGATTGTTCAAATATTCGGATGAATAACATGTATTTTAAATAAATTATTCCTAAATTGTGACTACTCTATTTTGTTTTTCAAACATTTAAAAGATCTGACTGCCCCAAATATTACATCTAAAATACTGTAATGGATTTAGAAAAATGTCTTTATGGTGCAAACATTACCTTTTACACACATACTAAAAGGCTTAAATTCTTTTATTTCTTTCAATCTATTCTCTGAACATGTTGAAAAAATTCTCTTTTTACCCCTCTCTGGAACAGGGCAGACAGAAAGTTAAATGTAACAAAGTGGGACATGCTAGACATCTTAGAACATTATTAAAACACCCTTCCATTTTTCAAAATAAAAAAATCTCGTTTCCTTGATAGAACTATTAAAGAAATACTTGGGTAGAACAAATAAAGACATCTGTAGGGCTGATCTATTAATGAGAAAACACTTTTATATTTTTATTTCCAGAATTTGAAAACCCAACTCTTGGCGGTGCTTTTATTGGATAGCTACAGTAGCCAGGCTTCTCAAAAGCTCAAAACACAATTCTGTGCCTTTTGTCAGTGACTGGGGAAAAAGGAGCTTGGATAACATCTTTGCAGAGGCCTACAAAGAAACCTCACTAAGCATCACATTTTTTTAAGGAACTGGATGAGGGGGAGGTTGTAACTTGAGGATAAAGAATATAAAGGGAACAGAAACTCTTAACAACCACCAATTGTCCGCCTCCTCCTGGGTTAATGTCAGGCTATACCACCCCCGCCCCCCAACACCCCATTTCTTGTCTTTTTGTCTTTGTCTCCAAAATGGTATTTTAGCCATGTGCAGATAGAAACAACCTACTGCCACAGATAGGGCTCTTTTTTGTTCTGTCCCATTTTAACAATTAATAATGCTTGAAGCAAGCACTTTTAAAAATGAATCCCCCATCTCTCCAACAGGAAGCACTCTGTCAAATAAGACAATTTGGTGCTCAAATTCCTAATCATGGTGTAGCACATGCCCTTGCTATCTTGTGTACAGCAACAGATAATTTTTTAATGTAACCAATCCAGAAAGCACAGCTTCCAGAGCTTTAAAGGAGTGAAGAGTAGGTGCAGTATGGAAGGCAAGTTGGAAGCTGATGGCAGAAGGCCCCAAGTGCTCAAACCAAGGGGTGTGTGTCTGCTGCCTGGGAATCAGGGAGTCACACTCAAGTTTCTGAACAAGTCTCCATGAGGAGGTTCATGCTGCCCTGCAGAGACAGGGCTGGAAGCACAAGACTAGGGACCTTCTGGGACAGTGACTGCGTAAATGGAACAAAGCATGGGTGTGAGACAGTGCGATGACAGACAGCTGACAGCTGGAGGGCAGTGGCTGGAGATAGTGCTGGGACTTCTTGCCTAAGTAAGAGGCAGACAGACACTGAAGCTGCTTAACACGGGAGCCAGTGAGGAGAAGGTGTGTGACAACCTGGCAGGCAAACTGCATTTGAGATGCAAGGCATGTGAAGTGACAAAGGAGGACTCAGCTGGAGAATGAGAGATCTCCATGTCTGCAACTCTAGGGACATCTACAGAGGAGAGTCCAGGTGACTCGGCTCTCAATGGTTCTGAAGAGGAAAGCAAGTTTGATGATAGGGACTAGTCTGGATGAAGCTAAGGACAGGACAGTTAATGTATCTTCTCAAGAGTAAGTTTTGCTGTGAAATCTTAAGAACTGGGTTGACCTCAGATAAACATGTAAACATCTGAGCAGACTCAGTTACTAGACAGTCAGGGGCCCTAAATAGGGGTCTTCAGGAAAGTGGACCTGAGGCAGCCCTCTTTCTCAGCATGTCCTCCACATCACCCAGAGCTCCTGTGGGTGCTGGGATGCGCCTGCAGCTACACTGGTGCTGAGGTGGAGTGCTGTCTACCTGTGGGTATGGTAGACCAGGGCAGAGGCCTGCGCTTCCCTAGACACAAGAGAAATGTCACCCACCGTCTCATGCTCCAAACTATACGTTGGCAAAACTCCCAACTCACAGCAAAATCCATTTTTAAAAACGAGATTTACTTATGCCAAATGGCTGTACAATAGGGAAGCATACAGCCAGTCCCACCCCAAACACTCTAGACTCGTCTCCCTTCAGTCTTTGTCCCTAAGCATATGGATTTTCTGTATATTTATAATCATATTGCAAATATATTTTTTGCTATAGTCTTATAATTTTTATTTAATGAAAGCACAATTATGACACATCTAGATGATGCATCATAATTTACCTAATCATTCCTTAGCTCTTAGGTATTTATGCTATTATCAATTATTTTATTTAAAACTAAGACAGACATTTTCAGGACTAGAACCTTTTCTCCTTTAGCAAATTGCTGGGAATGATATGGGGTAGTGAGCAAAATTAATTTTCAAAGCTTATATGTTTATTCATCATATATATTTTTTAATATATCTTTATTGACTTCAGAGAGAGGAAAGGAGAGGGAGAGAGAGAGATAGAAACATCAATGATGAGAGAGTCATTGATGGAGCCCACAACCCAGGCATGTGCCCTGACTGGGAACCGAACCCTGATTGCCTGGATCCTAGGTTGATGCTCAACCGCTGAGCCATGCCTGGCCGGGCTATTCATCATATTTCTGAGGTCAGAGAGAAATACAGAACTAAAATACAGTTCAAGAAATACAGAACTAAAATACAGTCTCTGATAGGGTTTTGTGCCAACCTCCTAGACGCCAGAAATCTCTCATGATTAATTTTGTGGGTTAATTTAGTTATATATACCCACGTTTCTTTCACAAATCTGTAAGAAAGTTTAAAAATCAACTAAAATTTTAAATTGAAATCAGTTCTAGATTGCTAATGATAAATTGTTCAGACCCTTAGAAATACCATTGTAATGTTTATTTAAATTATCAATAGAAAAAAATAAGTCTTATCTTCAGATAAGCAGGAGCAGCAAGACTATATTAGTTTCTATTTCATATTTTATAGAGAATGGAATTTTTTAGAGTGATTTTATGAAGGGCCATGCTTTCAACAGACACTTAAAAGGCATAGAACCTTTTCCCTGGTGGCCACAGAGAGCTTCTGTAGAAACTCATTATCTTTGGCTGCATTAGCCTTTCTCTGCTTTCCTTCCCTCCATCCTGCACAATCATTACTTATTTGTAGGCCACAAGAACCAACACTACTGTTGTTTTCCCATATACCTGCTAACAACTGATCTATTTTTTCCTTTGACAACATATTTTTCTAAATACATAAGAAAATGTCAGTTTTCTATATTCCATGAATATAAAATCACAGGGGACCCTGCCTCATTACTGTTCCTATCCTTCTCACTACCAAATATGCTGTCTCTAAAGAAAAGTCAGGTTCTAAGAAAAAGTAGAAAAACACCACAAAAGATAACCACCATAAGCACCCTCCTGAGCTGCTATAATCATCAGTGTACAAAAGACCCCTCTCCCAGCATAATGAACATGGGTGCTGCACTCGTCTCCACACCACAACACTTTTCAGCCACTGGCCTGCTTGCAGGGGGGCAATCAGTCCCACTGGATACCACTGTAATTAGCTATTAGTTATTAATTGTAGTTATTAATAATAGAAAAGGAGCAAAGGGAAGACCAGACATTATAGGCATGTCATTTGGGCACCTTTACTAGGAGCTACAACTTTGCACTCCCCAGGGAACCACCTGCCCATTCCCTGCAGATCACTGGGGGAAGGAGTCCAACAAAAGAGAAAGAGACATATACACAGTGAAGTTGGGGTGACTAGGGAAGGCACTTGCCTGTCAGTCAAGCCTGGGGAACCATAGATTGGCCAGAATGGGTGTAGACAATGCAAGCCTGCAAAAATTTAGTGATACATAATCCCCTAACAAAGAAATTCTCTCTTGTTGCTCTTGACTCTTGGCTCTTAACTTCTTGCACTCACACTCATGGCAACTAACCAACAGCTGGACAGCTCAAGAGGTTTTCTAATGTTGAGTCAAAATCTATTTCTCTGTAAACACTGGTTGTAGTTCATCCCTCTAAACCCTCCTCCCCCAAAATCCCCAAACCACCAAGTATCTCTTTGACTTGCAAGGTTTTCAAATATCTGAAGATAAAA